CCGAAAATAGATGAAGAAAAAAGAGTTAAACTTTCTGTTGCACTAGTTTTATATATGGGAAAACATGTGTTTATCCTGGATGAATGCATGTTTACAGCAGAAATTAGGGGCGTACTGTTTGCTCCCTATATTTGAACTTTAACTGTGAATAAATAAAAAATTGAAGGAGATTATGCATTGGTGTCTGGTGTCCATATTAATATTGATGAATTCATCTAGAAGTGACAGCTTCAGCGAAGTGGTTTAACAAGTCTCATCTTGATTAGTTGCCACTTACTGCTCTGTTTCTGCTTTTGATGCTCTAAATGGGATGACAGTCCCAAGAAATCCTGTAAGATTTTTGAGAAATCATATCTTAAGTTGTTTTCACCCTCGGTTAATATGTCAATTGAGATACATGAGTGGTTCCTCGAAGTTGATTATCTATGTGCATCACTGTATTTTTTGCAATTCTGCATCTCGATATCTATAGTACCCGGACTTTTAAGTATGTCCCTGGGTTCATTGTCATTACTCTTAAGACGCAAAGAGATGTCGAGGGAAGTTCTTGTTGCCAACTCTCTATCCAGCATGCTTTGACCAGTCCCAAAATAACCTCCTACCCCATTCCTCCCTCCACCCCCCCCCCCACTCCCACACCCCACCCCCCCCACACACATTTTCATGCCTCTAAAATGTTAGTGTCTGTTCGTCCCAAATTCTTTCATGTGGTTACCCACTTCATGATATTGTAGTTGGTTCCATGATACAATATAAGGAAAACGGTCAAAAATACCCCTCACTCATTTATTAGTTAGGTTTATCCCTCGTCATACTATCCAGCTATTTATACCCCTGTCCTTAATTAGACAGTTTCCCCAAATCAATTTAAATTACTCGATTCCCTCTTTAACCCAAATCCGGCCCACTTAATTAAATAAACTCATGACTAATTAAATCCCAAAATCAATTTATCCGATCTTTCTTCATCTCCTTCCTCCATTAAAATACCATGTCTTGTCTGTACCCAAGGGTTATTAAGATTGATTTTTCCTCCTTAGGTCATCCACAAATCTGTTTTTCTGAATTTCCGTTAATCCAAACTTTCTTTTGCAATATTTACTAGAACCCTTTCTGTTGTTCCTTCGGAAAGGGAGCTCCTGTAAATATTTCATTTTAAGGGCCAACCGGAGCTTTTCCTTTTGCAGTCATTTGTGTACTGTTGTTGGTTCGTAGCTCTTTCATTTGTGTATTGTTGTTAATGTTTTCTGGTTATTCTTCTCTGAGTTTGGAGTTCTATTCCAGTCGAAGCTAATATATGGCTGAATGTTTGTGTTGCACCATAAGAAGTTCGTTAGGTTTGTTGAATCAGAAATGACTTTTTCTTTGTACTATTACAGGCAAAAATTGGACATAAATCCAATGAAAAGTTTTTTTAAAAAAATTGCAGCTAAGTGTAGGATTAAATGGATGACTAGGAAGCCTTCGGCTTATTGGAAAGGAAGTGTACAATTAGGTGCAGCAATATAACTTGATCTTGTATAAATCTTCTAAACTTGAATGCATCCAAATTAGGCCATTACTGTTTGTTGCATAAAAAGGAAATAAGAGGAAGAATATATGGGCTGTTGCTATTACAAATGTATGAAGTTTTCCATGGAGGGGTATATTTTAAGTTGCGCGGACTCTTCACTTTTGATGCCGCACCCGTCTCGGATGCTTCAAAATTACACTAGTTTTGGCGAATCCTACACGCACCCGTTGGCATTTTTAAAGAGTCCGAGCAACTTAGAATTAATGCCAAGTTTAGTAAAAGCGGGTATAAATAATGGGATAGGATAATGAAGGAATAAACTTAACTAACAAACGGAAGTTAAAGGGTATTTTTCATCCTTTTCCCTACAATATAACATAGTGTAATGGTTCTCTATTAGTGAATTGAATATTTAAATTTTACAAGATACAATCACATTCTGTATGATGCTTCTCTTTGAAGCTATACCCTATGTTTATTCAACTAAATACTGTTGTTTATTTTCTGCCAGAAGAAGAAAGTAAGAAGCAGGCAAAAGAAATTGAAGGCGTATGATCTTTCTACACTTACAGAGTTTCTCCCCGACTTGAAAGCCTCTCAGCAACCAAAACCTGCAGAGTTCAAGTTGAAAAGTAAAACTAGGAAAAATTTAGTGTGAGTACTTAAAGCTTTGTTTAGCTTTCAAAATCTGTCGTCCTTTTCATGATAGAGCAATTTTTTTCTAAAAATGTATACTTCCAACAGGTTGAAGGAAGACAATCAATTACAAGCAGTTATTAATCATCCTGCTTTCCAGTCAGATCCATTAGGTGCCATTCATCAACATCTGCAAAGCACACAACCTACTGTAGATGAAAAGCCAAAAATAAGAGAAAATAGAAATGGAAATAGGAAAGGAAAAAAGAAATCTAAAGCCTCAGCCGGGCTACAGTCGATGGAGATCTAATGCGCTCTTAAGCTTTTTCTGCTTCTCCAGGTGAGGAATCCCCCATTTTTTGGTATGTTGGTCTGTGTTCACAGCCGTATGTTATAAATAGGGCAACAGTAAGGAGTTGGCAAATTGCTTCTGGGATCCTAATTAGAAAAGAGCATGTGAGATGGCTATAAGTAGAAGATACAGATACCCCATTAGGGACTTGTGGTATTTTCTTTTCATCAACTATTTGTAATAGCAACCTGGAAATTCTCTTTTTTTATTGTCCTCTTGCTCTTTGATTACTAAAAATGATCTGTTGATGAACAATTTGCTTGTAAGTTCCTTTTATTGATCAATACAAGGTTTAATTTATTACTGTTGGTGCTTTCATTGATCCTGCTCCTTGCCTCTCTACCCTTCTACCCTGCTCGATGATCAATTGAACACCCTCATTTACTCGTGAAGGTGTTGCAGGAGTCCGTGTAGGTGATGCAAGTGAGTCATTGGTCGAAGATTGGACCCTGAGTTGGGGTCAGGACGTTGGGTTGGTTCGTGCTGGAGGCGGGGTGAGGGTTGTAAGAGAGTTTTGAAAATGTTTTCTCAATGTTTGGTACATAGGTTATTTTTTTAAAATTGAAGGTGAAGTCCAATAGAAAACATAGTTTAAGCCACCCAAATATGTGGAAATTGAAAAACATTTTCGTTCCTACTGTACACTCCGAGATTGTTTTGTATATGGCTAAGAATAATAATTTCGGAATAAAATTTGGGATTAACTTTATCTCATGTTTGATTTGGCATATTATTTATTTTCAGCATAACTTTTACGTTAGGGGGTCATTTGGTTTGAATTCAAATTATGATGTAGTTATGATGAGATTATTTTTTATTAAGTGTTCCGTTTGTTGCATTTAAAATTATAGATTTTAAGAATAATTTATTATTACAAAAATGTCCTTCATGAGTGTAAAAAGTAATGTAATAAAAGGGTTGAAAGAGACATTTTTGTCATTTATTTATTTTATTTCCAGATAAGTTATATTGGGATTAATGTACCACCCCAAGGGAAGGGATAACTTATCTTGGTACTAATTATTAATCTAAGAATAAGTTATTTTAAACTTGCCAACCAATCAACAAATTAAGCGGTACAATAATATAATTCCAGGTTTATTTGGTATTACCTTCACACCAAACGACCCCTAAGTGACAAGATTAACTATCCCATAGAACGTGGGATATCCCACCATTGCACCAAACGATCCCTTGTGTTGTTATCAGTCTCTTATGATATATTCTTTTGTTAAACGATGCGTTTTTATCTTTCTTTTATATGGTAATATATTTAATTTTTCTGGTTCCTTATATCATGTGCATATGTTTGCTTAGTCCGATCAACTAAGAGCTTGTTTCCCTAAACTATAGTTTGTGATACAAAAAATAATTTGAATTTTTTTTTCTACGTTGTGTTTGATTAAAATATATATATTTTTTTAAAAGCTATTTTGAGGAGTTAAAAAAAAAAAGTGCACGCCCAGTGGGACTCGAACCCACAATCCCTTGATTAGAAGTCAAGTGCCTTATCCATTAGGCCATGGGCGCTATTTTTGTTTCAACTGAACAGAGAAACAATATAAAATCAGTATTATAAGATACAAACTAATCAAATATACTAGATGTTTCATCCCTTTTCAATTGACAAGAATCATTGCAAGAAAGAAAAAGATCATGCTTTTTAACTCTAGAATATAGGAAAAACTCATGCATATATATATATATATTATTATTATTATTATTATAAAATCAGTTACAAAATATACATAAAAAATAACTAATGTACCAAACATTTACAATGTATTTTATTGCACAATGCATTCACATATAAGCATGGCCCATATTCACATTCATATCAGAAAGAGAAATGAAAATAATTTTATACCAACAACAAATTGCTTCTGTTACAAAAATTAAAGCTCTTAAATAAGAAGACACGAAGAACTTCACATCAAAATTGAAGAAACAGATTGAATACAACTTGGATAGCCGAAAATCTAATCAATAGAAGGTTGACTATGAGAACTTATAATTCAGCAAATATATAGAAGTTATTAACATCTTAAATAATAAAACAAAGTCGTTATAATGACAATTTAGTAACATAAATAACTAAAAATAATATTCATCTATTGAAGTAACCAAATCAACCCTCAAATTATTGATTTAGTTTGATTCGTCCGATTCTTTTTGTTAACCATAAAATTTGGATTATATTTTAAAATTGATCAAGAAATTTGCGACTCAGACTAATTTTCCGATTTAATACTCTAATTTCTTTCCAAATAAAACGTATGTCTAAGAATTTAATCAAAACATTTAAAACTTATTTTTTTAAAAAATTTAAATTTTAAAATTTATGATCAAACTCGAGCTAAAATACGCGAGGGAACGGAGTTTCATTAACATGAAGTTGAATCAAATCTACAAAATCTAACAGACAAAAGAATGATATTTGCAATTTCCATTGAATGATTCAAAATTGAGTAATTTTCCCAGAAAAAAATGCTCAGAACTTCAGTTTTTGTTACCACTTCGAAGCACTCTGTTTGAAGGTTCCACAGTCGTCTTCTTCCTGGGTGTTGCTGAAACCGATGAATTTCCCCTTGTACTGGAACTTGGTGGAGTTGGGTCAGAACCCATTTCAGTTTTGCCCCGGGAAGTGGAAGCTCTGCCTTTTGGTGGTTGTGGGTCAGCAGAAGGAGTCGGATCAGAATCGGATTTGGGTTTACTCCGGCGAGCAGTGGACACTGTGGATTTTGCTGGTTGTGAATTTGCCAATCTGGCTTTGCCCTGACGGGTGAGAACACTGGAAGTTGGAATCACAACTGCCCTTTTCTTGAGCGGCAACCGCTTAGCGAGGATGGCATTGGCTTCAGAGCTTGTTATACTCACTGGTTTGAACAGGCTTGGGTACTTCTTGTCTTTCATATCTTCCGGCGCATTTTCCTCAGAAGGCACCATTTTCGCTTTGCCTTTATCAAGTCGACCGGAACTGGAGGAGGGTTCCATACTTAACCTTTTCTTGGCTGGTCCAGAGACTATTGCATGTTCCCCATAAGATGTTGTGCTGGATATCTTGGTACTGGATGAACGAGTATTTGGTGATATTATGGGTTTTTGAGCAACAGGCGATTTGGGTATTTCATTGCGACGGCGGGCGGCGGTAGCGGCGGTGGCGGAGGGAGAAGAGGCGCCGCCAGCAGTGGTGATACCTTTGCCGCGTTGTTGTCGAGTAGATCTTTGAGTAACAATGGCGGCAGACTCCGTATTCGTCTTATTCTTGGAGTCCATGGAAGAAGATTCACCAGAAATGTTTGTTTTAGCCTTTTCCGATTTGGGTGGTCGAGAAACAGAATCAGAAGGTACACTAGAACCCACTTTGTCTTTGCCAATAGCGGCAGGCCCTGAATTCGCCTTTTCCTTGGAATCCATAGAAGAAGATTCTCCACCACCACCACCATCAGAAATCTTTGTTTCTACCTTCTTGGACATGGGTGGCTTAGGATTAGAATCCACTTTTCCTTTACCGCGTAGTCGAACAGAGCTTTGAGTACCAATGGCAGCTGGCCCTGAATTCACCTTTTTCATCAAACCCATTGACGAAGATTCACCACCACCACCACCACCATCAGAATTCTTTGTTTCTGCCTTCTTGAACCTGGGTGGCTTAACATTACAACCCAATTTTGCTTTTCCACTTCCAGAAGAGCTTGGAGCAACATTAACAGGTGGCTGCTGAGGGTCAGAATCAGAACCCAAATTGGGTCTTGCAATGCGTTCAGATGTTCGAGTACCAATGGCGGGTTGATGAGTGGAAGTTGAGGACGACGACTCCTTCTTAGAAGCCATGGAAAATAGAGCTTTCTTTCTTGGTGAATAGCAGAAAACAGAGCAACTATAGCTGGCTTTGATTTGATACTCTATTTATACGCAGTCCCATTCTTTATCGGATATCCGATATCTGTATAGGAGTTCGACTAATTTAAGTCGACAGAATTATAATTTATATCGTTACGTTTTCTTACGTCCGATTAATTTGAGTAGATAGTATTTTTATAATCTTGCTCTATTTCTTTTGTTTTCTTACACGAATTTAATATTTGTAGGGAAATTTGATTAATTTGAGTTGATTGTGTTATAATCTTTCTTTATTTTTTTGTTTTCTTACCTAATATATAGATTACTTGTATTGAATTCGGATTAATCTGTGTTAATAGTATTATAATCTTTATGCAAGTTTTTGTTTCTTACTAGATATTCATTATTTGTATTAAAATCGAACTAATATGAGTAGACAGTATTTTAATTTTTTTTTTGTTTTTCTTTTCTTTTCTTACCTGATATTCGATATTTTTATGGAAGTATGACTAATTTGAGTTGATCGTACTATAATTTTTCTTCATTTTTGTTTGTTTTCTTATATAGAAGTCCGATCGATTTGAGTTGATCGTACTGTAATCTTTCTTCATTGTTTTTTATTTTAACCTAATATTCAATGTTTTGTATAGAAATGTGACTAATGTATCAACGTTCGACTAATTTGAGTTGATAATATTACAATTTTTCTTTAATTTTTTTGTTTTCTTACCTGATATTCAGTATTTGTATGGATGTCCAACTAATTTGAGTTAATGATATTATTATATTTCTTCATTTTTTGTTTTCTTACCTGATATTGAATTTTGAAAGTCGGCTAGTTTGAGTAGATAATATTATAATCTTTCTTGATTTTTTTTTGATATTTTTATTTAATACTCAATACTTACATTAAAATTCGTATAAAATCAATTAGTTAAGCAAATTGAGATAGAGAAAATAAAAAATTAATATTGAACACAAAAGCAAATCATTAATTTTAATAGTTGCTTAACACAAACACACACAAAAAAAAAAGAAATTCAATTTTAAAGGGTTGATGAATAATGAGGAATGACCAATAAAAGGATATCAAGACACATTTTGAATTAATATTGTAACTATAGTAATATTCATTTCAGTTACTTCAGTTTAACTGCAATAACCAAAATGTCCCCTAAATACAACATGTTTCCTTAGGTGCTTCTTGTAAGCTAAAGTTATTTGCCCAAACTTATTTAGTTGTAAGCATAATTTGTAGTTGTTTTTTTGGAAAAATACATAAGTATCCCCTCAATCTATGCTTAAAATTTTTAGATACACATATACTATACTAAGGTCTTATTATCCCTCTGAACTTATTTTATAACTAATTTTTTACCCCTTTTCAGCCTACGTGGCACTAGTTGGAAAAAAAATCAATCAGCGGCCAACAAGATAGTGCCACGTAAACCGAAAAAAGATAGAAAAATATTAATAAAATAAGTTTAAGGAATAATAGGACTTTAGTACAGCATAAGTGTCTCTAAAAGTCCACAATAGATTTAGGACCATCCTAATTGGACTTTTGGTTCACTTTTTGTTTGGGCATGAACATGAAGGGGGAGGGAATGTTAAAGTGAGTAAAATTTCCACATTAGTTCAGGAATAGTCTAATGATCTGTTTAAATGAATTTGAACAATCATCTAATTGTTATAGGGTTAAGTTAGACTCATGTGTCATATCTTTAGTTATCATCACATATTATTCCTAAAATTTCTCAAATTACAGTAAGTTTAAACTATTCAGAATTGGCAGATATATTGATCATTCGCCCAATACATAGCAAACAATTATGTATCAGATATATAAATTATGTATTAAATACATATATAACTATCTGATTCATACTAATTTAGGTTTGAAACAGTTTGAGTTATGTATCAACAATAACATTTGTACCTAACACATTGTACACAAAAAAAAAAAAAAATCGTAATGTGCTTATAAGGGTGGAGTGATATATCCCGATGTCAAGAGAGAAAAGGAAAAAAAAAAATTTTAATTACTTCAATTGGTAGGAATTCTAGATATTGTGTTATCTTAGGTTGTGTAATAACATAATTTCTCTACAAATATTGTATAAAAATATATAAGAATATATATATATATATATATATATACATCTTTGATACACAATTATACCTTCTATACACATTATACACCAATACCATTTATACGATATTGTTACATTATATATACATATAAACATTTTTATTAATTTTTTGGTCGTTGTCCATATAGTTAATTCAGAAGTATATACAGAGATGTATATCGTGTGTGTTAATATACACATTCTATTTTGAAAGTATTGTTGGTATATAATATGGAAAAATGACAAAAATCTCACATTTAAGTTCTCTTATTATCATTATTCCCTATTAATTTTACAGATTTCCAAAATTCCTCATTTTTACGCATCAATTGATGTATTAGCGCATCAAATTAATGTAATTCGTGCATCAAATTAGTATATCTCACGCATCAGAATAATGTATCTCACGCATCAGTGTATCATGTATAAATGTAATCTATCTTACTTAACGATTAATGTATCTCGTGCATCAGATTAATGTATTAGTGCTTATATTATTGTTTCAGTTTGAGAGATTTCTACCGTTATAAACTTATAAGGAACAAATGGTAATTTTACCTTAAAAGTATGTGATTTCTGTTCTTTGTCCGTATAATATTTAAATGTATAATTTATATGTAAATATTTGTTTTTAAGAATATAATTTTTTAAAAAAAATTATATTAATGAATCTGAATATTTTAAGTATGCATATATTAAAATCCTCTCCTTCCAATTTCACCAAAATAGTTCCTTTTGATTGCTGATTTAGGAATATAATGATATTGTAACCATGAGAGAAAATGAGGATTAAATTAATAAGGATCAAAATTGATCCTTAATAGAAAGAATAATTAATTACTCTCTAAAATTAGTTGTTATACTTTCTTCGATTTATACTATTTGCTGTTTTTAGTTTGAACACATCTTTTAAAAAATTCTTAATTATTTCAAGAAATTGGAAGTGCTATCACGAAATTATAAATAATTAAATAATATTAATTTAATATGATTTCTTGATTTTGCAAAAAATTTCTTATCTAATTAAAGGTAAAAATAAAAAAAGAAAATACCTTTTTGATTATGTGAAAATTAGTTTATTTTCTATTAAACATAAAATAAAAGCAAAAAAAAATCCTTAATTGGTGACTTACTTAAAATCTCAAAAAGGGATTAAAATAGGTAAAAAAAAAATATCATGTACTTATATTTACTTTTGTTTGCTTATATGATATTAGTGATAGAATAAAACATGTAAATATCATTTTGCCCGTTGTTATTCAATTTAGGTAATAAAAATAATAATTATCTCAAAATGACAAAATCTTTACAAATTTGCTTCAAAATTTGAGTTCTCTACATTAGTACAATATATCCATGTAATTATTGGTAAGTGGAATTTATTTTATTTCTATAATAGGTACACAAATATTAATATTCTTTTTTTAAAAAAATATATCAAAAGTAATATGAATTTTTTTGCCATAAATAGTTGAATTGAAGACATAGGAATATATTTTTTTTTATTTCTAATATAAATAGAAGTGTAAAAGTTTGAAAAAAATAAATCAATTGTCTAAAAAGTTCAGAAATTGAAAATGAAGCAAGCTATAGCAACATGTTTCTTCCTAATAGCTTTTCTTTTTCTCACCTCAGGTATATATAATAAGTTTAGTTTTTATTTTTCGGATTTACTGTGTTTAAGTGATTGCACCTTATTGTTATTATCATGATATTTTATACACACTATCAAGTTTTTCTTGTAATTGTTATTTTGATTTTGCTTGAGGTGAGTGTCTTTTAAAAATAATTTTGCTACCTCGTAAAGATAGTGATAAGATCTGTTACACTCTACCTTTGCTAGACGATCCCATTTTGTGGGATTTCACAAGATTTTTGTTGTATTTATTTACAATCTTTCTACCTCGTAAAGATAGTGATAAAGTCTGTCACACTCTACCCTCCAAACCCTATTTTATGGAATTTCAAAAGGCTTTTTTTTGTTGTTGTAGGATAGATTTTATTTTACGATCTTTCTACCTCTTAAAAATAATGATAAGGTCTACCACACTCTACTCTTCAGACCCCATTAGACTTTTTTTTTTAAGATAGTTTTTATTTTCTTTATTTGTTAAATTGTGTGTATTTATAAAATCTTAATATTACAAATATTTTTTATGAACCTCCCAAGTAGCCTTCTAAGAATGATTAAGTTCTTATTCCCATCTTAGACGGTATTCGATAGACTCTCGAGTTAATGAGTAAAGGATAAAATTACAGTTAAAAAGTCAAATCTATTTATGTATCTATTTATTTAAAAATTGACATTTCTAATGATTTTTTAATTTTTTTTAGGTATGATTTCAGTTGAGGGTGCTCTAGTAAATATTTGTGAGAGATTAGTACTTGGAATTGATTGTCCAGTAGAATCACAATCAAGAATATGCCTAACAGAGTGCACTAAAATATCCAGTGGTCATAAACCTTATGAACATTATTGTTTACAAGGTCAAGATTCAACTTATTGCTATTGTGAATGGGAAGCTGATTTTTGCAACTAAGGGATCGTATGATAGAGTGCATTTAAAGATCGTTGGGTACAGAATAATAAGTATCAGGAATTCTTTTTTGAGAATGTAATAAGTTTTACGTCATTATTATTTTGCTAATAATATATATATAGTATTATTGTTATTGAAAGTGTTTGCGATATATATTGAAAAAATATTATAATCTATCGCGCATTAATGGCAAGGCCTTGCTCATCCTGTCTTGAGAAAAAGACATGTATTTTAGACCCCAAATTTGAGGATTCTCATTTTTTCACAATAATTGATTATATTTTTTCTTTTAAAGAAAGTGGATCGGAATACTACTCGT